CAGTTCCTTCCTAGTACAAGCATCAAGCTCTTCCACAGAGGGATTTGCAAGAAAAACCTGAATATCCATGACTAACTAACAACTATTACAAGCAAAAAAAAAATGTATACAATGTAAATATACAGTACAAAATCAGTACAACAAAAAAACCTTAAGAGAGTTTGGTCAATACTATTGATACTTTACTTCCGACTCTTTGACACAAAAAAAAATTTTTGTTAAAGTCAACTTCGCCTTTACAAAATTACTCAAGTAAGACGAAAATAGGTTCAGAAAAATATCCCGGACGAGCCCTCAAACTTCTTTTGTCACGTATTACAAATTGAATTCTACTTTTAAATGGCTTGCCTAGGGGAACGTGACAATAGAAAAAGGTAGTTGTGTCACTTATCTTAAGTCTGAATTTAATCAAAGACTTAGAATGAATAACAAAAAAAAAAAATGACACAAGAAATCGGAAGGTAAAATATCAACTTAAGGTTTAATAAAATATAACTCGAATAGTACTTTTAACTGAATCACATAAAGCAAGAAAAAAAAAAAAAAAAAACATTTACTCAATACAAAATGGAAGGGTTGACCAAAACCCTTTTACAAAAATGGCATGTAAAAATATTACAATACAAGAGTTTGAAAATATAATTACAAATACAAGCAAGGCCTTGAAAAAAGAAAAATCTTAACTTACACGATCAATTGGTATACCACGCACGGGTCACGCAATGTCTCCGCTATTCTGTCTCACGGCTGTCTCCGTATGTCTCGTCTGTCAACGTTACACGGGCGGTCTTTATATAATATACCGCGCGTCGATATCAAGACAAATCTAGTAATTTCTAGAACAGAATAAGTCATCAACACCCAGATCTAGAACGCTCTTCAAAGAGACAGAAGAAAAAAAAAACCACCCTCCTTTCAACCAGAGGTACACACATAGGTCAAGGACCGGTCACTGTCTGTGTGGCTTGACTCACCGTGAAAAATAAAATAAAAAAACTTATTACACAAGGGGCAGACAACCTACAGGTCAAGAGAAAAAAATAGTATCTAGGTAACAATGCCTAGATACGTAACAATATATATAAACAAGGATCTTCCAATTAATTAGGCCTATATATTTTCATACACGTGATGTCGAATTTCTACACACTAGCGATTCATATCAACAACGTCGATCTAATTATAGAAGGATGTTTTTACAGTACAATTATACGGTTGTTGTTTTGTTTACTTCTTCAGGAAAAGTGTAGACATTTCAAGAAAGAGGCCAGAGAGTGAACACAGTTACGTCAGCCCTCAGAGTGTACACTATGATGAAATGGGCTCTACTATTGCAGACGAAAATATTTACATGACTACTTTATGTTAAGACTTTCTGGGTTTAATTATTGCTGGAAAATCAATTTTTTATCTTACTTAAGCGATGTCTGAATAAATCTACGATGTCTAAATAAATCTACGCAGGTGATCTGAATGTCTAAATTACTTTAAGAGTTTTTACGCTGCTAAGTTTTGATCAGGTCAGTTACAACTCTTATTGACATTGACCTTGTTTATGCAATGAGTGTAAATTTTAACATTTATATTTTTGCTTCTAATTATAAATTTATACAAAAACAAGAAATTCATTCACTTATGATCCAGAGACCTATAAAACTAGTACTGATTTTTTTTGGTCATTTTAGCGGCACCAGAAAGGTGAAAAGCCACAATTGGTTTTGATTGGTCTGTCTGTTAGTCCGTCTGTCACGTGTAAATTTCAAAAACTAGAAAAGATATTGAAATCCAATATCATGATATTTTAGATCTTGCAAAATTTCTTCTGAAAACTAACCATTTTGTTTTGTTTTTTAAATTTAACATATAAGCCGTTATTTTGTCATAGAAATAGAATTACTCTGTTTTTAAAACTATTTACTGTTAATAGTAAAAGATGGTGCAAACTATAATGCGAAAGGGGCGTACCATTGTTCATATTTTCATAATATTTACACATATAATTATATACCATGTGTATTATTAAAAGAAAAATTTGTACTGTATAATTTTAACTACTTTTTTTTGTGCACATATAGCCTAATTATTATTATAGCATATATATATGCTTATAGCATGCTCAGAGCGCTTTTGGTCCAATCTCATTTGTGGACCGGTGGGGGGGGGGGGGGGAGGGAGTATCTAGGAGTTGGTTTTCCGTGCCGCCTTTAGGCGCTCAGTAAACACAACTCTGCCGAGTCGAACCTCGAGCCCCCTTCTAGGTAGCCAAGCCAAGTTCAAGCTCACTTGGCCTCTCGACCACGCTTCCCACTAATGTGTTTAGTTTTATTAAATATTAAAGTAGGCCTATACCATATATTATATAACTCTTTAAATTGAGAAGAACTATTCACCCACCCCCACATCCGTCGATAAACTATAAATTAGATTATCATATAAACACATGTTAGGCCTAGTTCAAGTTCATTGATTGCCCATAAATATTAAGATGTATATCTCATAAGAATAATAACATCAGGCTGCCAATCATAAAAATCACGTCAGGAACATTTACGCCCCCATACGTCTAGTTTGTTAGGAGGGGAGGTAAGAATGTGACTCTTGGTAGTTTGTACTTCATAGCTTCTGACTTTCATACTGCAAATATTGAAACCTTCCTTTTTTACATGTATTTCTCACAAACAGATAACCCTTCGGGTGCCGCATCTAAGTTTGTGTTTACACAAACTCTTTTTGAAATCTTGTTAAATTAATAGTTTCCGTTTTCATCGGTCAAGACTGCATGTGAAAGTTTTCTGTGGTATTTTTTACAGAGCAGGACAGTCATGATCAAGTCACTAAGCATTTTTTAATGAGTTCATGACTTAAAAAGAATGAGAGCAACTTCCTTTGGGTCCCGACATATTGCATATCACATGTATGTATGGTGTAATAACCTAGAACAGAAGCTAAACAGAACCCTGAGATTTAGGCAATAACAAACGAATATTCATATTTAACTAGAGTAACACCATTAGTAAAACCACTAAATTTTGAGACACTTTAAGACACAAGACTAAAAAGTAAAGTAGCAATAATACATAAAACACTGAACCATTTTTAAAAAAGCCACAACCTAATAATATATTTAAAGACACAAAGATAAATGCAGATTTCTTATTCTATATGCTAGGACAAAGTCGATCAAGTGCTCCTTCTTCCCTAATTTCATAAGAGCATGAAACGGGTGTTGATATTCAGTCGTTGGGCTGTAAAAAGTCTATACAACTATATATTCCCTGGTAGGTGTCATTCTGTCAAACGTCAATCAAACTTAAAAAAAACACCTCCCACCCCACTATTTATAACATCAGAATCTGTTCAGCCTATACAACCAAAGTATCCGCCTAGTTGTTCTCATAGTTACGTCAGAAACACGCGCACACACAATATATAACAACGGGTTGCCTGAATCAGCCATGAAGCCCAATGATTTAGCAGAATTTAAGTTTTAATCAACATGCTCTAGATCCGTTCATAGATACATACAGGCCCTGATTCATTAACTCACCGATTCTCCCACTTGAGATAGGCGAAAAAATATGAAAATGTAACCTGTTATTACTTGTCTTGTGTCTAGAAAAACTACGATATTTTCACGATTGAAACCGCAGTGGTTAAATTTACCAAAACCGATTTTTTTTTTATTCGCAATTCCGACCTAATATTTGTTTTAAGCCGAATAATTGAAAAGTACAAGATGATACTTCTATTTTTCAATATTTAAATTCTTTTTGTGCGTAAATTTAAAAAAGTACTTCTTGGCGCAAAACTAGCTGTTGTAACAACACACAAACTGAACTACTGTAACACAAAATAAAATAACTTCGCCCGTGTAACACCAACATTATAACAATAAAATGGGTGCTTCAATATTCGTGTTAAGTCCCTTAACAATGCCATCACCTTAATCTCACAATGCAGCTTCTGTGCGGGTCAGTGCACTATTTGTTATACCTTTAAAGTCTGCTGCAGAGAAGGTGAGGGTCAGTGCACAATTTGTTATACCTTTTAAGTCTGCTGCAGAGAAGGTGAGGGTCAGTGCACTATTAGTTATACCTTGTAAGTCTGCTGCAGAGAAGGTGAGGGTCAGTGCACTATTTGTTATTCCTTTTAAGTCTGCTGCAGCATGACCTCTATGTTGAAGGCGCCAGCTGCAGAGAAGGTTGGGGTTAACAATCAGCTAAAGGCTCAACAATTTCAACTTTATTCTGATAAATGTAATCATACTGATTTTTTCGTTCACTCGTAATTTCATATGCTGCAAGAAATTGAAATATTCTTTTCTTATAGCAGTTGTAGACATGTCATGGATTTTTTGAAAGCCAGTGTTCATTTTAATAAGCTAAATTTGAGCAAAAATGTCTTAATGAAATTATTCAAAAATATACATAGCAATTATCTGTTGTCATTCTAATAGTGCAGCTGACAGTCTGAGTTTCAGAAATGACCAGTGAAAAATGTAAGTGGTTGGTTGACATAAAATGACCTCTAATTTACCAACCCAAACTAAATGTGGCTTTGTTAGGGGTTCATGTCTTCATAATACTGTAGAGCATTTCAGGAATGTTTTTGAGGTCAAATCCTCAGATTAAAAAAAAAGAAATTTTAAATATGTTAATGCTATTTTTTTAATGACATTTTATTTTAAAATTTAAATGAAAAAAAAAGTGCCCACACTGGTGTTACTTATCCCCCTTAGAGAACATTCACATTGAATTACAAAAACTATTAAAAATACCTACAAAAAAAATAACCTAAAAGAATAAATGATTGAATCATGTACTAAAATGTCTTCCACAGATTGCAAAATGCACATTTTGTTACCCAAATATTAGCCAGCACACAATAGTAGAATATTCCAACAAATTATAGGCATTCCAATGGAAACATCTCTAGCACTCCAATGGAAACACATCTCTTACATTTCAATGAAAAATCTCTAAGTTTCAATGGAAAAACCCTTCTAACATTTCAATGGAAACACATCTCTAACATTCCAATTGAAACACATCTCTAACATTTCAATGGAAACACACTTCTAACATTTCAATGGAAAAACCCTTATAACATTTCAATGGAAAAACCCTTCTAACATTTCAATGGAAACACAACTCTAACATTTCAATGGAAACACAACTCTAACATTTCAATGGAAACACCTTTCAAACATTCCAATGGAAACACATCTCTAACATTTCTATGGAAACACACTTCTAACATTCTCAGAAAAGAAACAATGACACAATCAAAAAGAATGAGTGATTGTAGTGATTGAAGTATGTTAAAGAAAATTCACACTAAACAACACAACAACCAAAACTCATATTAAATTGCATTTAAGCAAAAAAGAAAAGCAATATTCTTTCTGCCATTTTGTAAATCTGTTATCTCATGTGATGCGTTGCTTCATAACATCAACTAATCTCATATTTCAAAGCAACAACAGAACAGCTAGACTACACCAAACTACAAGCTGTACATTTACATATATACACATTTGGATATTATATATTATTTACACATATATCATTGTATTGACCATAATAGAATGTACAACATTAAAATCATGGATTTTGTCAATCTGTGGCTTAAACCTAACCACAAAGTCCAGAAATAAAATTATTATAAAACAAAAGATAACATTTTAAAGAAAAAAAATATCTTGGATTGAAGGCTAAAAATGAGCAATGACTTCCACTACTTGCCAAAGAAAAATGTTTTCAGTCAACAGATGATCAAAATGTCTCGAATTTCATAGTCAAGTAGACACATTTTACTCTGCGTTCCGATCTCAATACTTGAACTGCTCAATTCATTTGACAGGAACAGATTGACATCACAAGGTCTAGACAATCTAAAGCTTGTTCAAGACAGTGCTAACAAAGAATAAAAAGACAAAAAGTGTACAACAACACAATGGGAAGGGAGATAACTGTCTGCAAACAATTGACAACAATTAAATATGTATAACAAATCTGTGCTCTAGCCCAAAGAGAGTAGCAAACATCACAAGTATAGCTGTCATTTAGATGCAAGAAAATAAGGCAATTAGCTTGAGTTCAACAACAACCACTGATAGTAGTCAGGCAAGATAGTAAGGAGAGTTTGTTTCCATGCTCTAGTATCCTAGTGTTCTTGTTGGCTTTAATGTACTCTTATTCTAAGTCAGACTTCGATTAGAGTAACAATCTTGAGAAAGAAAACTATATACAGCAATCACTAATATTTCAACAATAAAAAAAAATAAAAAAATTGGTCCGACATTTCCAATGAGCACTGATACAACCAAAGGGTTTACAACAAAATCTTGGGATAAATAAATTTGCTTCCTCTACATTTTTTCTTATAACTATTACAAACAATTTTAAATGCATTGCAAATTGGAGTGCAAGGGATGTAAATGATAATGGTTTTCCTTCTAGATTGAATCCTGAGACTACATTTAACAATATTAATTTACAATAATGCCCTAGTGCTGAGACAAAATAATTCAATTTATAATAACTCAAAAAGCTTGTTAGTCACCAGCCATCATTAAACCAAGAATCAGCTATTATCTTTGTCAGCTTCCCACTTTAATGTTAAACTAGTCAAAAAAGCTGGATCTTGTTGTTAGAATTATTATTGTTCAAGTCGGCTTGAACTTTAATTTTGAAACAGTCTTTCAAATTATCTCTTCTAAATAAAGGACTGGGGCTGATTGAAAAGATGTCAAGAGTTTCTGAACACTAAACCATATAAACTTTATAATTTGACATTATCAAAGACTTAATATACAAAAAAAAAATAGTTTAACAGAACAAAAATGTTCCAGAAGTTACATTTTAAGTAAGAAAAAAAAAGGTATAAATCTACATCAAAAGAGATAAGTTTTCTTCACTCTGACTTCCTGTTGTCCAGTGTATTCACAGATCTCCCATATTCTGATCCTTTATGTATTTCTGTCACCCCAATCATTAAGCGCACCACAAATGTCACTGAAATTCACATTGAAACATATTGAATGACAATAAACATTGCATGAAACAAATATTTGAAAAAATGATGAAACAAAACAGCTATAAACATAAAAGGGGATAGAGGAATTCATGTGCTCAAAGTTGTTGTTTTAAACTCTACAGTCTAAAAAAAGTTACATCTCTAATCTTGTTATCAATATTAGTAAAGTGCATGCAAGGATTTTTGTTTAACTAATTGTGGCCTTTTCTTTCAAGGCCTCTGAGACTTTTAGTGTCTGTGAACGATGGCAAGTTAAATTTGGAATTGTATTGTTTTTCAAAAACAGAAGCAAGATTACATTGAAAGATTTTCTATACAACTGTCATGATCAATAACAAAAATTTGCAGCTTCCTCATTAATGCCTTCAATTAAACTAGGGATACTTAGAATGCCCTTAATTTCTATAGTTACTCACATATTATTCCCACTACTATTGCAATGATTTGCTGTGTAAAAGTTCCTGCTATAAACAAGCTCCCAAGGTAATAGAACAAGGGTACACATGTGACTACAGCCCAAAAACTCCACATCAGAAGGTCATTGATACGTCTAGGTATGTTATGTGTCGGGCCAGGAAATGTTTCGGTATTAAGGAATTCTTCATACATGTCATCCTGTAAATGTATTCAGTTAATAAAACATCAAATGAACTTTATTTGAATCAAGCATTAAATAAATAAATATTGATTTAGTTATGGGCATCTAAATATTCTAACATCAACACATTTTTCATTGGTAATGCAAGTAGTGCACACTATTGTACCTATGAAAATATTGGAAACAACAGGGAGATGGATAAAGCAAAGACATGAGCAAATGCATAGTGCCAACTGAAGCTTTCCTCTTCTTTTTCAATAGGTATAGAAGACAACACTGTGGACCATAGCTACTATGTGACTGAAGGAGGCCAATGAATATGTATGAACATATTAAATTAAGCATGCTTAGTTTTAAAACAAGAGCACACTTTAGAAGACTAAACTAGCACCTATCTCAAACATGATCACATTTTCAAAAATTATTGAAGTTGATGAGATCTATACATGACAGGAGGACAGATGGACAAAAACAGTAATGCCACAGAAGTCACTAATCTATCTTTAAAAGATGGACTAAACATTATTGTACTAAAACTCCATATATTCAATATTAAAGAAAAATGACAAATTTGGATTGGAAAATGATAGAAAAGGTTCAAACCTTCAAATATTAAAAAAAGAAAAAGAACTGGTATCATAATAATAATAATTCAAAGTAGATTAAGTAGATCTCAGCATGAACAGGCCACAGCACACTACCATTGCATACAAGCAGCATTCATTTTCATGAGCAAAACCCGCTGACAGATATCACTATTCAGCATTTGCTTCCTAATTAGTTTTCAACCAATTTATAAACATTTAATCTTTACATTAATTTTAAAAGCAGCTGTTGTGAATGTCTATTAAAAGAAAGAAATGCAAAAGACTTTTCTAAACTGGGTGTAGAAAATTAAATTTAAAAATGATTACTGCTAAAAAACAATAGTTTTAATATATAAAATAAAATATATAAATTTTTGCTCATATTTATTTTACTACAAACTTGTAAACCTAACAAAACAAACTACAGCAAGAAGTATCTTTGAAATAGAAGATAATTTTGATACTTGATTTTACACTAGAACAGTCCTAACAATAGTTCACTTGAAATAAACCTTTCAAAATAAATTTAAAATATTTGTTAGTTCTTCTTCGTTTATTAGTTCAATTCTGAATCTCTGAATTTAGGTCTGGATTCAAGACTGCTGATTAAGTCATTGCAAAGACATCAAAGTTAGATAAAAGAAACTGTCTAATTAAAATTATGAAAAACAAAATTCATAAAGTTGTATCTCACTTTCTTTTTGAACAACTCCCTAAGCCATTGAGCGCAAGCTTCATCTGTCTCTATTGGAACACTGTCTAATGGGATTCTCCTGCACAAACACAAATGCATTTTCAAAAATTATCAAACAAGTCTGGCTTTGAGATGTATAATGTTTCTGTAAAAGACACCACATTAAATAATAGACTCTTCTAGCTTTTGCAGCATAGAGGTGATGTGACCTAAAATGTTCAATGTGAGATTCTAAAACTAGCAGTTCAGATTGGAATGTAATCAGGTTGTCAGATGTTCTATGAACTATTTATCTACTATTTTTACAAAGCTTATATCAACTCACTCTGTCTGGTAAAAAAGAAACATTATTATTCTCCCAAACCCATTCTCAGATCAAGTTGAAACTTTGAACAATTATTTATTGGCATAGACAAGACAAAATCAATATAAAAAAATTAACCCATCAGTCAATCAATTACTGGTAACTATTTATTTTTTGTAAACCAATAAGGGAAATTAATCCTTCAGTTTTCACAGATGCAGCTAAATATGTAGGGTTTTGTCCCCTTAGAAAATTAAACACACACATTCTCGTATCAAGTTGAAACTTTAAACAATTATTTATTATACCTAACAAAAGATGAACCAATTTTGTAAAATTAACCATTAGTCATTCCATTATTGGTAATTAATTATTTAATTTAATATAGAATAAGCGAAATAACTTTAACATTACTGAGAGAGTAAGTGCAGAGTTCTTTCCCTAGATATGCTTTATTTTTTTTTAAAAAGGATTTTTTTAAATTTTGCTTTAATTTCAGAACTGTAACAACCATTAAATTTGAAAATGAAAATGTTACATATATAAAATTCAAATTCTGCTCTAAGTAAAACTTCAATAAAACTTTGAGATAATAAAAAGTTTTCCCTCACTCTGCATAAAAATGTGCCAACATCGGCTTTCCTTGAAGAATATTCATCAAAGTTGGAGCTGGTCCATTTTTTGAGAAAGCAACAGTACAGTTCAAAATAGTTGGAACTGAGGATTATCACATGTAATGAGCGTCATGAAACTAAATTGTTAATGGAAAGAACAATTTTTTTTGTAATTAAATGATTTATTAACAAAGTATTGTCAATGTGAAAGATGATCACAAAGTAATGAATATTGAATTATAATCTAAAGATCTACTGGCCATATGAAAAATGTAGCAACAAGTTCAGACTTTAATCTTTCTAGCTACTTATTAATTATTTATTTGTAATTATTTTATAAGAAACTTACATTGGCCTCTCAGCCCGTGAATTGTGATGATAAAACCCTTCGGCCTCGGCAATAAGACATGCTTCAA